CTGCAACCTCCCCATCGACCCTGCCTTGAGTGTGACAGGGGGCGGTGCCCCAACCCCCCAATTGGCCCTACCCTGAGCGTGACTGAGGGTGGCATTGCAACCTCCCGATCTGCCCTGCTCTGTGCATGACGGGGCGGCGCCCCTACTCCCCAATCGGCCCTGCTCTGAGCCTGACCAGGGGCTGCACTTAGGGATTGGGCCTGCCCTCTGCCACCCGGGAGCAGGCCTAAACCAGCAGATCGTTATCTCCCGAGGGGTCCCAGACTGCGAGAGGGCACAGGCCGGGCTGGGGGACCCCCCTCCCCACCCCCCGGAGTGCACAAATTTTTGTGCACCGGGCCTCTAGTAGTAATAATAAGGAAACATTAAAGGGAAAATTAACTTCTAATTCCATTTAAGAAGAGTCAACTCGCCCAGCCATTGTGGCTCAGTGGTTGAGTGTCGACCTACGAACCAGGAGGTCAAGGTTCGATTCCTGGTCAGGGCACATGCCCGGGTTGCAGACTCCATCCCAGTGTGGGGTGTGCAGGAGGCAGCCAATCAATGATTCTCTCTCATCATTGATGTTTCCATCCCTCTCTCGCTCTCCCATCCTCTCTGAAAGCAATAAAAATATATTCTTTAAAGAAGACTCAACTCTCATTGTATTCAGCTCCACAAAAGTAGACAAATTTATGAGAGAAACAAAGTAAATTATGTACACAGAATCCCTACCACTATTTTACACTCAAAGTAGGTCAGTAGAAAAACTAATTTATTTATATCAAATTTGAAATTTTACTGTTAGTTAGCATTTGGGGAAGAGAGACTTAGCAAACAGAGCCATTAGAATAAAATACATTTTAAAGTAAATTCCAACCGATTTCAGCAGGGCAATGGTGAGATCATCTAGATTATCTGGGTGGGTCCCACACCTCATGACAAGTGTCCTTACACAAGAGGCAAAGGAGAGTTGAGACAGAGAGGAGGAGCCATGTGACCCCGAGGCAGAGCCTGGAGGATGTGGCCACAAGCCAGGGGATGCCAGCAGCACAAGGAGCTGGAGGAGAGACAGGCTCCTCCCTGGAGCCTCCGGAGGGAGTGAGGCCAACACACACCTCGATCTCCAGCATCTGGCCTCCAGAACTGTGAGAAGATAAATTTCTACAGGTTTAAGCCACTAAATTTGAGGTGCTTTCTTATGGCAATCACAGGAATACAATTACTCACTTAAATCAGGACTCCCTCAAATAGTAAAAGGTGTGTTCTAATTGTCAGTGGATCTCAAATCAAGAGATAGATACATAAAGCTTTTAAAATCCCCAAGCAATAAATGGCGAAGGAGGTACCCAGTTGAGTTTCAGTATTAATGAGTTTCTCGAAGAACCTAAAAAGATAAATGAGAAACAGCAATTTTAGCAATAGTGGCTGAAATGTTTTTCTGTCTCAAAGATGCATGCATGTGAGAATAAAGTCGTGAAATTAGGAAGGAACAGAACATTTACCTAAAATCCAGTGGGACCACCAAGTGCACTTGTTGGAAGAAGGGTTACCTGACAACCACAGATCATGAACTTCATGAACCCAGCTGTTTTCAGCTTTAAGAATTCCCCACGCTGCCTGGCCGGTGTGGCTCAGTGGTTGAGTATCAATCCATGAACCAAGAGGTCACCGGTTTAATTCCCAGTCACGGCACATGCCCGATTGCAGGCTCCACCCCCAGTAGGGGGTGTGCAGGAGGCAGCAGATAGATGTTCCTCTCTCATGTATGTTTCTATCTCTCTATCCTTCTCATTTCCTTTCTCTAAAATAATCAATAAGAACATTTTTTAAAAAACAAGCAAAGAGCAAATTCCATGCATAAAAAATACTGTCACAACTATTACAAAGCATTTATTTTTTTATACTCGTAATTTAAAAGCATTAAAATGCTATTTTTTAAGAATCTAATTTGGAAGCTGATGAACAATTCAAGTAAAAAAAAAAAAAGTCCCTCAGCAAAACAAGAAAAACAAGCTAAATTTTTAAAAAGATTTTTTATTGATTTCTAGAGACAGAGGAAGAGAGAGAAACATCAATGTGAGAGGGAAACATTGATCAGCTGCCTCCTGCCCCCACTGGGCATTGAGCCTGCAATCTGGGCACGTGCCCTGACCAGGAATCGAACTGGCAACCTTTCAGTGCATGGGACAACATACAGCCAACTGAGCCACACGGGCCAGAGCACAAGCAAAAATTTTAATAGAAACTTTGCAATGACAAAGTCACTGAGGAAAACTATTAGGTAAAAGATAAGGCGACAGACTGTCCATTCTCACATATCCTTTTCCTTTGGGTTTATATTTAAAAACAGCTATTTTTCCTCTATTGATTTAATCTTAAAGACCCCCAAAATATCATGTTCTCTGTTACTAACCAACAAGTAACTCCTTGCCAAAAAGTAATGCATGGCCAAGAAAACTCTCGGGCCTGCATTCTCATTAAATGTCCATAACCTGCATTTCATGGCCGGTGGGCACTGAGTTCTAGGATTCCGACAAAACTTCATCAGGGGACCCACATTTATAAAAGGATGTCTGATGGCCATGAAGTATAATTCAAAATTTAAATTTTTTAAAAAACCATGTGCTAAGAACTCCAAAATAAATTGGAGGTCTATACTTAACAGGGCATGGGGTAAAATACTCAATTTCAGAATCACTGTGAAATTTTACAATTGTTTTTTTTATTTTTACTTTTTTTTCAAGGCCACCAAAAACTTTGGTTGCCCGCCCCCCTCCCCCCAAAAATGGAGAGATTACAATTGCTTTTTAAAAATAAGAAACTTGCTAAATACAAAGTACTTCAATGGTATATTGTACATTATATTGCATGGAACATATTCCATTCTTTTTTTAATATTTTTTTTTATTAATTTCAGAGAGGAAGGAAGAGGGAGAGAGGGAAACATCAATGATGAGAGAGAATCATTGATCGGCTGCCTCCTGCACGCTCCCCACTGGGGACCGAGCCCGCAACCCGGGCATGCACCCCTGACCGGAATCGAACCTGGGACCCTTTGGTCCGCAGGTCAACGCTCTACCACTGAGCCAAACCGGCCAGGGCATATTCCATTCTTTGAACAAAAATAAAATAACCAGGTACAGACTTATTTTTCTAAAAGGTAATTGACTCTGTGCTATGCTCTGAGTCCAGGCCAGCTGTCCTCTGATGTGAAATCAAACACTGACTCACGATAAAACCTCGCATTCAGGTAAATGTGAAGATCGCAGGGGGAACCGACAGACCTGCATCGGTGACAGTTTCCATGAGGCCCACTTCACAAGTCAGATATCAGGAACGCGTTTTCTGGAAGAGTGATCCTTCTCTCGGCAAACGGAGATGCTGGTTTAAATGGAGACCCTGGCTTCTCCTAATCTCCTTCCCCCCAAAAAACAACCACCCACAATCCGGGCAAACGCAAGTCCTCAGGGAACCAACAGCAGTTCACAAAGTCTAGACCAGCGGTTCTCAACCTGGGCTGCACGTTAGAATCACCCGGGAATCTTTAAAATCCTGGTTTCTGGGCCTCGTTCCGGTTGAGAACCACTGGTCTGACCGGAATCTGCTGACGGACAACAGGACGGACAACAGGACGGACGCGGTGGCCCTCAATGGCAAGAAGACAGAACCACCCCCTCCCCTCCCCTCCATGCCAACCCGAGAAGAGAGGGGGGAAAAGGGAGTAACTGAATACAGTAATCACCAAGAACCAAACTCCTTTTGCAAACTGGGAGATAAAATAAAAGTTCACAATTGTTACTTTTGTCTGAGACTTCAAAGAACTAAAGAAAGAGGCCCTTCTGCTTTTGTTTGTTGCACAAATTTAATCTACAAGTCCAACCTCTGTAGAGAAAGAAACAAACAGAAAGAAAGTAATCAGACAAAAAAAAAAAAAAAAAAAGAAAAGAAAAGAAAGAGCAGCCACGCATGAAGCCCAGACGGTCGGCAGCACCTCCGGGGGCGCCCGCAGCAGCCACTGTGTCCAGCTCCCCGCTCCCCCCGCGGGGCCCAGGCGAGCAGAGCGGCGCTTCTGGTGCCAACGGGACACCGTGTCCCGGAGGGTCCCCGCTTCCCAAGCGGAATAGTGGGTTTACACAGCACCCCCTTCTCGCGCCAAGCGCCCCGAACCCGACCTCTGCACCCCATCTCACCAACCTCTGCACCCCCTTCTCGCGCCAAGCGCCCCGAACCCGACCTCTCGCCCGACTTCCACGTTCATGTGCACCCGCCGCGCGAGGCACC